ATTATTGAGACGGTGTCATTCTGACACCAGGCTGGAGCTCAGTGCCACAATCACCACTCACTGCAACTTCCACCTCCCAGTTCAAGTGATTCTTCTGCCTCAGCCTCCCGAGTAGCTGGGACTACAAGTGCGCACCACCACTCCCAGCTAATTTTTGTATTTTTTAGTAGAGGTGGAGTTTCACCGTGTTGGTCAGGATGGTCTCGATCTCTTGACCTCGTGATCCGCCCACCTTGGCCTCCCAGAGTGCTGGGATTACTGGCATGAGCCACCATGCCTGGCCCAGATTTCCTTTTTAATGGGGCAAACTGCTTCTGCTTCTTGTATTTCATGATTTTCAGTGAGTTCCACAGCATCTTTTCCGTGACATCACGATTGATCCATGCAGGATCACAGCTAATAAATGGCTCTAAAACAACCTGTGAAGACATAACCTTTAAGTGTTCGAAGCACCAGTCTTCAATTCCGCATGCTGCACACACAGCTCTGAAGCCCAGGTTCCCCGCAAGCCCGCCGTGGCTTTCTGAGAGAGGATCGGGCATATGGAACCATAATGGAGCATAAATTTACAGCAACAGAGATGGACGAGGGAGATTAAAGCTTCATCTGTAAGGACATTCTGCATGGCAGAAAAACAACAGTTATTGTACTTTCTGCTTTTTAGTGTAATGAAAAACTCAATCGCTTTTGATAGAGTGTGGGCTCCCTCTGCTGCTTGGAGGAGACACCAGGACTCCAGGCATTTGGGGTTGCTTGGAGATGAGCGCAGAGGAGGTGGCCTGAACTGGGAAGAAAGAGAAAGATGGGGCTGAGCATTGCAGAGGGCCGACTTGTTCTGCAGGTTTTGCCTTTATGGGCTTCTCAAAGTAATTGTTTTGCTGCTGCACCAAGAAGCAAGAAGTGAAACTAGCAGAAAAACGCAAAGAAATTGTAAGATGCACTGGCCAGATCACCTGTGTGCACAGTGCAATCATCACGGAAGCAATGAAGCCTGCCCAGAGCTGCAGGCACTCTATCACCAGGCTGGAGTGCAGTGGTGCGATCCCGGCTCACTGCCACTTCCGTTTTCTGGTTTCAAGCAATTCTCCTGCCTCAGCCTCTGGAGTAGCTGCAACTACAGGCAGGCACCACCACATCTGGCTAATGTTTTTTTTTGTATTTTTAGTAGAGACGGGGTATCACCATGTTGGCCAGGATTTTATCGATCTCTTGACCTCGTGATCTGCCTTCCAAAGTGCTGGGATTACAGGCATGAGCCACCGCACCCAGCCCTTCCCATATCTAGTTTAAACAAATCATTGGTACCCTTACAACAGAGACCAAGGAAAACAGGAATAAAAACAACCTCAAAAGAAAGAGAACTTACTCAGGAAATAGAAGAGGATGTTTAAACGTTTTCCAATTATTATTATAACAATATTTAAGAAGTTATTACATTCAAAAATCAAGAACAAGATAGTAGGCAAATGGCACAACAATGCCGCATAAACAGTAAGGAGAATAAGTAAATCAGTAAATTTAAAATGGTGCAATAAGGGAACAAGAAAGCGTTCTTATAAAAGTATGATGGCTTAAATAAATTCAAGAGAAAGGTCAGATGATAAAACAAAAGAAGTCCAAAAAGTAGGGCAGAAAGACAGAGATAGAAGACATGAAATAAAAGAAATATGAAAGACTTATCCAGGAGGTCCAGTCTACAGGTGTCCCAGATAGAGGAAGATAGAAATCAAAGAGAAAAAAAGCATCAAATGGACAACAAAACAAAATTGCCCAAAAGTTAAAGACAGAAGTGTATAGATCAAAAGAATCTGCCAAGCAAAGAGAGGGCTTTTAAAAAACCCAAACCTTTGCAAAATTTCAGAATCCTGGGAGGAAAAGGAAAGATCCTAAACCACACTAAAAGAGTATAGACCACGACCAAATGTGATGTATTCCTGGGATGGAACTTTCAACATATGAAAATCAATCAGTGTGGCCTGGCTCAATGGCTCATATCTATAATCCTGTCACTTTGGAAGGCCGAGGCAGGCAGATCACTTGAGGTCAGGAGTTCAAGACCAGCCTGGCCCACATGGTGAAACCTCATCTCTACTAAAAATACAAAAACTTAGCCAAGTGTGGTGGCACATGCCTGTAATCCCAACTACTTGGGAGGCTGAGGCGGGAGAATCATTTGAACCTGGGAGGTGGAGGTTGCAGTGAGCCAAGATTATGCAAATGCACTCTAGCCTGGGTGACAAAGCGAAACTCTGTCTCAAAAAAAAAAAGAAGGAAAGAGAGAGAGAAAATCAAGCAATCAATGTAATATAAAACATTAACAGAAGGAAGGGGAAAACTACATAATTATCTCCACTGATACAGAAAACGCATGTGATAAAATTCAACATGCTTTCATGATAAAAACACTAAAAAATTAGAAACAGAAGGAAAGTACCTCAACATAATAAAAGCCATATATGAAAAAACCTCAGGGAATATCATACTAAATAGTAACAGACTGAGTTTTTCCTCTAAGTTCAGGAACAAGACAAGGATGCCCACTTTCACCACTTCTATTCAACATAGTAATGAAAATCCTCACCAGAGTAATTAGGGAAGAAGAAATAAAAAGCATCCAAATTGGAAAGGAAGAAGTAAAATGATCTCCATTCAGAGAGGATATGATTTTAAATGTAGAAAACTAAAGATTCCACCAAAAAATTGTTAGCACTAGTAAACAAAATTTAGCAAAGATATAAAGTCGACACACAAAATTGCATTTTTTACACTAACATGCACAATCTAAAAATAAAACCATTTATAATAGCATAAAAAATAATAAAATACTTAGGACTTAACCAAGGAGGTGAAAGATTTGTACAATGAAAATTCCAAATTATTGCTAAGATTAAAGACAAATAAATGGAAAGACATGCCCTGCTCATGGATTAGAAAACGTAATGCTGTTAAGATGCCAATCCCACTCAAAGCAATTTATAGATTCACTTCCATCCCTACCAAAATCTAAAAGACATTTTTTGCAGAAACTAAAAATTCTATCCTGCAAATCATACAGAATCTCACGGGACTCTGTACAGCCAAAACAACTTTGAAAGAGAAAAACAAGGCCGGGTACAGTGGCTTATGCCTGTAATCCCAGCACTTTGGGAGGCCAAGGCAGGCAGATCACCTGAGGTCAGTAGTTTGAGACCAGCCTGGCCAACATGGTGAAACCCCATCTCTGTTATTTAAAAAAAAAAAAAAAAAAGGTATGGCCATTTCTCAGCATAGCAATACCACATGATCCAACAATTTGTCTTTTGGGTATCTATCCAAGTGAAAGCACAGACCTGAACAGACAGTTGTACACCCATAATAGCCAAAAGGTGGAAGCAACCTAAGTGTCCATTGACAGATGAAGGGATAAACAAAATGTGATAGGTATATCCACACAATGAAATGTATTCAGCCTTAAGAGGGAAGGAAATTCTGACACATGCTACAACACGGATGAACCTTGAAGACATATGCTAGGTGAAATAAGCCAGTCGCAAAAGGACAAATAGTGTATGATTCCACATATACAAGGTACCTAGAATAGGCAAATTCATAGAAACTAGAATGAGGATAGATGGAGACTGATTATTACTCTCAGGCCCCTCCCACCTCCACCCATTCCCATGGGAGGCCCCTTGAACCAACCTAAATCTTTACTGGGTAGAGTTCCAGTTCAGGATGATGAAAAAGTTGTAGCGATTGATGGTGGGCACAGTTGTTCACGCCTGTAATCCCAGCACTTTGGGAGGCCGAGGCAGGCGGATCATTTTAGGTCAGAAGTTCGAGACCAGCTTGACCAACATGGTGAAACCCCATCTCTACTATAAAGTATAAAATTAGCCAGGAGTTGTGGCGCACGTCTGTAGTCCCAGCTACCTGTGGGACTGAGGCAGGAGAATGGCTTGAGGCCGGGAGGTGGAGGTTGCAGTGACCCAAGATTGATAGTGACAACTGCATAGTAATTTCAATGTATTTCATACATATGAAAATGGTGAAAAGGGTAAATTTTATATCATGTATATTTTGTCACAATTAAAATACACAGGCCAGGTGTGGTGGCTTATGCCTGTATACTATAACTTTGGGAGGCCGAGGCAAAAGGATTGCTTGAGCTCAGGAGTTAAGAGTCCAGCCTGGGCAACATAGGGAGATCCCATCTTTATTTTTTAATGTAAAAAATAAAATAACACACACATAAACAGAATCTGTATGAGTCACACGTTTAGGTAACTGAATATCCTCTCTGTCCCCAACCCCCACAAGCCAAAGGCAGAAGGGCTTTATTCCACCAAAGAGTTACACCAGCCACAGCTGCTCACTGCAGCATCCTCCTAGGAAAAGCCCTTTTGTGTGTGGAGGAGGCAGATGGCGAAGGTCTGTGCACATATTTTATTTTAGAGACAGGGTCTGGCTCTGTCTCCCAGGCTGGCGTGCAGTGAAGCGATCACGGCTCACTGCAGCCTCGAACTACCGGGCTCCAGCGATCCTCCTGACTCAGCCTCCTGAGTAGCTGGGACTACAGGTGCACACCACCACGCCCACTAGTTTTTTAATTTTTAGTAGAGTTAGGCTCTTGCCATATTGCTCAGGCTGGTCTCAAACTCCTGGCCTCAAATAATCCTGCCGCCTACCGAAGCGCCAGCACCACAGGCGGGAGCCACGGGCCAACCTCTGTGCACCGAGGAGCACGCAGCCACCGCCACGATCCAGCTTTAGGACATTTCCATCACCCCACTCAGCCTTCCTGTGCCCCTGGTTCCTCATCTATAAATAGAGATAATAAGTGCCTAGCCCTCTAGGCCGCCAGCACATTGTACCCATAATTAGGCTTGATGCCACATTTTTCGGCTATTAACCTTTCCAAAGCGGAGCCCCGCCCCAGCGCAGCCCGCGTCACCGTACGCAGAGGCGCAGATCACGGTTGGGAGGTGTATCCCGGAGGCCCCGCCTCCCCCGCGCGCCCGCGCTCGGCCGCCTGAGATCTGGGAATCGGGCCTCTCTCGGCACCCTGGCAACGGCACGGGGCGTTGCTCCGGGCTGGATTGGTGACGCCTGGGCCCCTCTGGCGCCTGCGCAGTGGTCAGAGCCGCGCTCGCGCCGAGGTTCTGCTGTGTGACCGCGGCTGCTCCACCGCGGACGCCGAGCCATGGCGGAAGAGGAGCTGGAGGCGCTGAGGAGGCAGAGGCTGGCTGAGCTACAGGCCAAGCACGGGGTGAGCCCGCCGGCTCCCGCCAGGCACTGCCCCCGCGGGGCGCTGCCCTCGCCCGGGGTGGAGGGCGCGGCTCCGGGGCGGTGGCTCTGGGCGCCTCCCCAGGGACCCGGGTCCCGGACGCTACCCTGGCGGGCTCCGAGGGGGCCTCGCCGCTTTCCCCGTCGCGAGGAGCCTGAGAGGCCGGCAGCGGGGGCCGCCACGTGCGGGACCTGCACGGGCGTGAGGGTGTGGGGTTTCCTGGCCCGGAGCAGGCTCGTCGTGCCCGGCCGGAATCCAAGCACAGTCTCTGCTTTTGGAGCCAGCAGCAGCCGGGCCGAATTCAGTTGTTCTGACCCAAGTTTAGCCGAGAGGCGATGAGGGTCGCTTGTGTTCCCGGTGCTGAGAGCGCGGCGGGGTCTGAGGAACGCTCGTCCCGCCAGGATGACAGGCCGGGAGGGGCCGCCCGGTGAGGCGTTTCTGATAAAGAAAGGGACGGGGACTTTAGGGACCGAGGGCTTGGTCTCGCAGGACGCGTCTTTGAATTATCGGCGGCCCTAATATCGAGGCCCATTTTATTTTCCAGAAATTATTTCTACACGTAAAACACGGTTTCGCAATTCAGGGAATTCCTCTCCCCGGGGTGCCCTGTATTCTAAAGCGTTCTGTGAGACTGTGATTTTAGACGCTCGTCAAAACATTCTAAGTGGGAACTACTAGTTCATTGATTTCTGTGAGGCCCAGTTTCTTAATTATTTGGGGAGTTTCTACCACTGCAAGAGACTAACGTATCGGAAACAATTCAACCGTTCCTTCCCCACCCCCTGTGAAATTTCTCTATTAATTTTTTTTTTCCCCAGGATCCTGGCGATGCGGCCCAGCAGGAAGCAAAGCACAGGTATGGGCTGGAAACCTGAACTTTTTGAAAGTGGTTTCAACAAATGGGTTTCTTTTGCGTTCGCTGTTTTAAAACAGGTGACTCTTTTTGTTTTGGCTGGAATGGTGATTTGGCCAAAATCATTCGCAGGGTATCTTCGTTATTGTTAGTTAAGTAAACACGTGTGCAGCGCCACATCACAGCTTGTATTGCGATTACTGGTTGATGTTTCTCTACTAAACTGTGAGTACCTTAAAGTGAGCCTGATAATAGGCAGCTTGGCAGTTTCCTCGATTGTGGGAGTGACATGAGTCTAGTGCCTCACTTAGCCTGCCTCACTATTCTGTTTTACCCCAACACAGGGCGGAGCACCTGAGAGAGATGCAGGTAATTGATTCGGTGGCAGGTTTATTGAATGAGTATGTGATTACCCTATCATGCTACCATTTTTTTAATTGTTGAAATAAAATTTCACCGTCTCAGCCATTTTTAAGTGTGCTCTTCAGTGTTCACACTCTAGAATGTTTTCATCTTGCAGAACTGAAACTGTAGCTACAGGACAATTCTCCATTTCCCCTTCCCCACCTCCTACCACCTTCTAACTGCTCTCTGGCAGATATTGAGAGTGCACCTGCTATGGGCCAGGCACAGTGCTGGGTCTGCAGAAATAGGCAAGGCAAGGGAGGGTTCAGGAGAAGGCAGATGGTAAGAAGCATCTGGAGTAGTGATTGGAAGGAAGTACAACGACCTGAATTTCAATGATTCTACTGTGTACATCTTTTCATTTTCATGTATCTGAAATCAGGATGCCTTTCATAATGAATCGCTCTTGCCCCAGATTCTTCCAGCGGGGATTTACTTTTGCCTCTGCCATCACTTGAGTACATTTCGAATCTGAGACCACTGAAAGTTAAATTCTCTGCTTGAGGTTTTTTCCTGCCTCCTCCCTAGTAGTGTGAATTCAGAAAGCAACCCTGTAAGACTGAACTTTTTTTTTTTTTTTCTTTCCGTCAGGACCAGATGCATGCAAGCTTTTGTACTGCCCCTTACTGTGTGGCAGATTTATTTCTTCTTTACCTTGTACTGAGAGTGTTGCTCTTTGATACCCCAGTGGTGGAATCAGAACTCACTGGCTCAAGCCTGTAATCCCAGCACTTTGGGAGGCCGAGGCGGGTGGATCACAAGGTCAAGAGATCGAGACCATCCTGGTCAACATGGTGAAGCCCCATCTCTACTAAAAATACAAAAAATTAGCTGGGCATGGTGGCGCGTGTCTGTAATCCCAGCTACTCAGGAGGCTGAGGCAGGAGAATTGCCTGAACCCAGGAGGCGGAGCTTGCGGTGAGCCAAGATTGCGCCATTGCACTCCAACCTGGGTAAGGAGCGAAACTCCGTCTCAGAAAAGAAAAAAAAAGAACTCACTGAAACCTCAGACTCCTCCTGGGCTCAAGTGATTCTCCCACCTCAACTTTCTAAGTAGCTGAGACTACAGGCGCGCACCACCATGCCTGGCTAATTGTTTTAAACTGCTCTTTTAGAGATGGGCGTCTCACGATATCACCCAGGCTGGTCTCAAACTCCTGGCTTCAAGTGATCCTCCCGCCTCAGCCTCCTAAGATACCCCAGTTTTGAGTGAAGGTCCCTACCAGACCTCTCATTTATAGTTTTTTTTTTTTAAGAGATATAGAAAACTGTGGTGCATCTTACAATTGATGGCATCTTAGGGTTATGTGATAATAGTTTGTGGCAGGTCAGGTGCAGTGACTGAAGCCTGTAGACCCAGCTACTTAGGAGGCCAAGGTGAAAGGATCACTTGAACACAGGAATTTGAGTTGATCCTAGCTGCAGTGAGCTGTGATTGCACCACTGCATTTCTGCATGAACAACAGAGTGAGATCCTCATCTTTTTTTTTTTTGAGAGATGGAGTCTTGCTCTGTCACCCAGGCTGGAGTGCAGTGGTGCAGTCTTGGTTCATTGCAACCTCCACCTCTGAGGTTCAAGCGATTCTCCTGCCTCAGCTTCCCGAGTAGCTGGGATTATAGGTGAACAGGCGCTCACCACCACGCCCAGCTAATTTTTGTATTTTTAGTAGAGACAGGGTTTCACCATGTTGGCCAGGCTGGTCTTGAACTCCGTACCCCAAACGATTGGCCCACCTTGGCCTCCCGAAGTGCTGAGATTATAGACATGAGCCACCACACCCAGCCTAGATCCCATCTCTTAAAAAAGTTTGTGGCAGGGCTGAAATATTCAAACCATAAAGAAGTGGCCTATGGACATGAGCTTTAAGCCACATTCCATGAACCCAAGGGCCTCTGAGCTGGGAGTGGATAGTGGGCACAGTCAGCCCCAGGTCTCCCTCCATTCAGCCAAAGCATCTGTGCTTATTTGTTTTTAGATTCCTTAAAGGACTTCATTTGAAAGAAACTTGAAGTCCATGGGACCACTATCCTGTGAACATGTACTACTTTCTATTTGGGTAGGTGGGAAGAAGCGAGGATAGTTGCAAAGTTTTAATTTCATTCCCCTTTCCCACCCAGAAAAATAGAACTGTCTTAAAACATGGACTCCGGCTGCAGCTTGGCCATTTCCCAATGTCTCTCGAGCGTAGCCTCCTGGATCTCAGCTTTATCTCTAAGAAAATTACAAAGATCAGTCACGTGGTCCTTTTAATTGCCTGAAATCCCACAAATTTCTAGCACCTGTCACGCGATAGTACTTAAGAAATGTTGGTGATGGTGTTTGAACTGAGACTCCACTCTGATGAAAACTGTAAAGCTCACCTTCCGCCTGGTAGGGTCTCACCTATGTAATATAAAGCTGATTCTTTAAGGGCAAAAGTAGATTCTGCTGGAATGTAGCTACAGCCTGGTATACAGCAACTACCATAACGCAGTGGTACACCGCAGGGCCCATGTGGAGACAGATACTGGATGAGTTCTTTTTTGTATGTTCCATGGGAATGCCGACAGCTTTGTTCTAATTGTGCTTGACCTATGTTTTTGTTGTAGGGAAGCAGAAATGAGAAACAGTATTTTAGCCCAAGTACTGGATCAGTCAGCCCGGGCCAGGTGTAAGCATCTTTCATTTTATTTCCATAAAGTTGGCTTGAGTTAGTTGAATGGGGTGATTATATGTCATAATCACTATCTCTAGATGAAATATTTGTTCAGGCTGAAAACACTACAGTTTATAAACTTCACACACAAACTGTACTTTAATCCCTATTAAAAGGACCAGTCACTTCTCTCAAGATGTTCTCTAGGTATGTATTAGGTAAGATTTATAGGAAACAACTCCTAGGGCCAATCACAAAATGTTGCTGGTAGTTGACATGGGTGGTGGGGACTTAGGGGCTATTGGTATGTATTGTCAGTTTTAGTTGTTAAGGGTTGTTCATCATAAAAACCAAAATCTGTAGAAAGAAAATAAAATGAGCCAATCAGAATGAACTGGTATCTTCTGTATTTCAACTGGAAGCCCAGTTTGTAGAAAAGGCAGTCAGTTGGATCACCACTATTATGCATGTGTAATAGATAAACCACTTTCCAGAGGGCAGTCGTATATTTTAAGAAACAGGAAGCATGGTGCTTAGAATCTGAGAACCCAAGTTTAATCTCGGCTGGGCCGCTACCCCCATGTGGCCATGTGGAGACTGGCATGGCTAAACTTCAGTTTTCTCATTTTTAAGAGGTGTAACAATACTGTCTTGCCCTACCTACTTTACTGGTTGAGAGACAAGCTTGTGAAGTGCTTTGGAAATAGTGCATAGTTTTAAGGTATAATAAATATAAGTGCATTTGATTTTAATGGCTTCTTTGCATATGTATTTTTTCTTTTTAGTAAGTAACTTGGCACTTGTAAAGCCTGAAAAAACTAAAGCAGTAGAGAATTATCTTATACAGATGGCAAGATATGGACAAATAAGTGAGAAGGTAAGCTTAGACTGCCTTGAGGATCTTTACCTACTGTTACCTGCTTTATGAAAACATGGCTTCAAAAGGTCAGCTTCATCTCACTGGATTACAGGATTCTTGCTGACTCTTACAAGAAATTGTTGCAGGGGAGAAGTCATACCTACCGTAAAAGAGAATTGCCTTTCCTAAATTCCTCTGCTTCCCTCCTTTCCTGACATTGTTCTGGAACCTTGTTGGTGTCTGTGACCCAATGACTGTAGGGTCAGCTAGCTTCAATTGCTACACTGGAAACAAGGTTTGTCAGTAACGCCAATTAAAATACTACCAATGTAAATAGAAGTCAGGTGTGTTTTGCAGATGAGAATGTGCTAAAATCCCTTGGTTATGTTATGGGTGTTGCTGTAATGTCTTGAGGGGTACGTTCCGGCAAACCTGAACTTTGAGATCCAGAGGAGCCCCACCTTCCCTGAGAAGCCCCCACCATGGCCTACCGGAATCAGTCCTGTCCCCTAAACCCCTCACACTTATATATATTTTTTACTAGAGATGGGGTTTCACCATGTATGGTGAATGCATGTATCGGTTGTGGGAGAGCTGGTTGGGTTGATCTTTTTCGAGGGTGACTTACCTCCTTCAAGGGGATGTTTAAGCTTCTCGGGCAGAAGTGGTGTGTCTGTATTCCTGACACCAAACACAGTGGTATATGTGGTTGTCACGCTGTGCTAGTGATAATAAAGGTGTTCTTAAATATCTGTTAGCTTTCAGTTTTCCTGAGGAAGCGACTTTATGGATACTTCCCCCTCCTCCTCAAATGAGGAATGGTAGAGCACATTTTATTTGGAACTTAAACCAATAGTTATAACCAATAGTTTGAACCTCCTGCCCCACCACTCCTTCCGTCCTGAGCTCTTTCCCCACACTGCAAAAACACTACAAAGTGATTCCACCTGCAGAGGCAAAATATTCGTTTAAAGTACTGTTTTGTTTTGTTTTTTATCTTTTCTGGTTCTCCTAGGTTTCAGAACAAGGTTTAATAGAAATCCTTAAAAAAGTAAGCCAGCAAACAGAAAAGACAACAACAGTGAAAGTAAGTGTCCCCAGATGCTCGTGGCAAATGAGAAGATGGATCCTCTAAAGATTAATGTTGAATATACATCTGCCACAACATATTTTAGCCCTGGGACATTTTCATTTTGTAACACATGAAAGTTTGGGGAGAAAGGCTGAAACTACTGGGGGAGAGTTCCAGTTTTTTAAAGGCTCTTGACTCCATTCCCATCCTTGTAGTTCATGTTAAGTTGCTTTTAAAACACAAATGTCTTGCTACAGTGGGTAGAAATTTTCTTTTCTTGGAAAATTTGAGTTATGCTTTTAGAAATGTTCTGACACTCATTTAATTTTCCCCCTAGTTCAACAGAAGAAAGGTAATGGACTCTGATGAAGATGACGATTATTGAACTAAAAGTGCTTACAGACTAGAACTTAACAGAACAATTCTAGGACAGAAGTTAAGATCTGATGACTTTGTTTATTGTCTATAGGCCTTTAAAAAAAATAAACTTGTTATGCAAAATAAAACATGTGGGTAAGTTGTTTTAGTATCATAGCCAAGTGGCCAGATCTGTGTTTTGAATTTTTCCCCTTCCTACCAGAAGCTTTTAACCACGTGTACCAGCATGAATATACCATTTGCAAGGGTGCCATGAGTATTAACTAGCGGAAGTGTCCGTGTGTCCATGGTGGAAACAAGCTGCTCCAGCACTCTTCAGGAAGAAAAACATAGCAGCCGCCAGTAACGGGGGAATTACAACCCGTGGATCGGACTAAATCCGGTTCAACATCTGAGCACATCTAATATTCTAAGACCTAGGTTCTGAAAGCAGGTAAGCTGTTTCTCTTCCTGCAGATAGTACTTCCACTTAATGTAAGAAAATTCCTAGCTTTGCCAGGCGCAGTGGCTCATACCTGTAATCCCAGCACTTTGGAAGGCTGAGGCTGAGGCTGAGGCTGATGGGTCATTTGAGGTTGGGAGTTCAAGACCAGCCTAGCCAACATGGTGAAACCCCATCTCTAGTAAAAATATAAAACCGAGCTGCGTGTGGTGGCACATACCTTAACCCCAGCTACTCGGGAGGCTGAGGCAGAACAATCACTTGAACCCAGGAGGCAGAGGTTGCAGTGAGTCAAGACCGCGCCACTGCATCCTAAACTGGGTGACTCCATCTCAAAAAAAAAAATACATATATATATACCTCCTAGCTTTGATCTTATTTATAATCCGTTTTTCAGAGGCAATGAAATTAACAATACCACTCCCAAAATAACTATAGAGTGATATGACTGAAAAGCAATGACCAAAATAGACATGTTGGTAATACTACTTCAGTAATATGTTTGTAAGAGAAATGACTTCTGATGATTTCAAGTCCAGTTGAGATAGTTCAGCATTTAAACATTTCGGTAACATCACTGATAGTGTTGCAGGTGACTTAAAGCAAATTCTCTCTTATGTTGTGCTTTCTTTCCACTAGGTTATGAAAACCTGCACTCATAAATTGTTTTCAGAGACGGAGACTTGCTGTGTTGCTGAGGCTGGCCTCAAACTCCTGAGCTCAAGTGATCTTCCCACCTCAGCCTCCCACGTGGCTGAGATTGTAGGTACAAGCCACTGCTCATATATTTAAATCATAAACTTAACCATCAGCCAGCTGTTTGGTGTAACTTTTTTAAATGTCTTAGACCTGTGAGAATCAGCGCAGGAATAAATTGACAACATTTAACAAGGTGAATGGGACTAGTAGAAAAGTGAAGGAAATGTGGTTTGCAAACCCCAGTCTCTGCGTTAGCCAGCATATTACTGATAAATGTTTCTACTGAACATTCTACTGTATTTGAAAGTTGCATTTATTGTCAGTGAAGAAAGTGTTAGAATAATATCTGACATTCCAAATAGGTAGAACCATTAAGAATATCAACTTTTTTTTTAAAGGAACAGTGATTATAAGATGAAATCTGGTTAGGGATTTTTTTTTTTGTCAGGGTAAACTGGTAATTTAAAAAGACAAATTTGGTCAGGAATTTTGAAAAAAATCCCAATTACAGGTAAATTTTGCTTTCGGCTTCATTTACATAAAAATGCTAGGGGGATGTGAGCCAGTTCTCTGCAAGTTCTGTTCTGTGCTTTCTCTCGCAGAATAACCACTGTCCTAATGGCAGCTACTGTGTGTGTTTAAAGAGGGTTAGACTCTTGTCTTTCAGAACCTGAGAATGAAAAGTGGTTCTGTATAGAAGGAGAGGCTCCTGGCAGCAGCAAGAGGCTGGAGTACATTTTAGGGAGCGGAGAGTGGTGGCTCTAAACTTATTTAAATCAGTGAACTCGTGCTACTTTGAATTCAGAACTTTTCTTCACAAAATGGGAATTAGGGCATAACAGTTTCTAAACTGTCATGTCAAGTTTTGAGTAGGGAAAGCAGTTGGAAAACACACACTTTTTTTTTTTTTTTTTAAATAATCGAGGGAGTCATTTTAAGATGGAAAATAGCTCAAGAAGAAACAGCATTTACATCTCCAGGGGAAGGGTATGCCAAGTTTGAGGCTGCCACTGCCAACCAGGACTTGATCCTGGCTGTGAGATCCCTTGCAAACGAGTCCCCTTATTTTTCCGAACCCATTTCCCCATTTGACAGTTCTATCCAGGGCAGTTGTTTAAATGGGTATATATAAAAATATTTTTGGCCGGGCGTGGTGACTCACGCCTGCAATCCCAGCACTTTGGGAGGCCAAGGTGGGCGGATCACTTGAGGTCAGGAGTTTGAAACCAGCCTGGCCAACATGGTGAAACCCCACCTCTACCAAAAATACAAAAATTAGCCAGGCCTGGTGCCAGGCGCCTGTAATCCCAGCTGTTCTGGAGGCTAAGGCAGGAGCATTCCTTGAACCTGGGAGGAGGTGGCTACACTGAGCCGAAGTTGTGCAACTGCACCCCAGCCTGGGGGACAAGTTGAGTAAGACTCCAAAAGTTTTCAAAATACTGCACCACACCAGAACATTAGGTAGTATCAAATGTATTTGTATCTTGAAATATACCTGTGCTGATAAACTCTATAGGCTGTATTTTCTTAATTGGGATGGTATAGAGAACCACAGCAGCTTTAGTTGATAAGGTGGTTTTATTGAAAAGGAGGAAAAATCAGATCAAAGAAATTAGCAAAGCAACAGGTCTCATTTCCTGTTTGGGGTAGGAAGCTATGGTCATTTTATTCTTTTGATTTTCAAAGAAAAAATGTTTGTGGGCCCTGAGCACTGTGCCTACTGGATTAAGTCAGCCTTGGTCAGATAGAGGGATAATGATCTAAGTGATCAAGTTCCCATGTTTCAGTCTCACATCTATAACCAAAAAATGTATATCTACACATAAAGCACATGTTTGTTTACAGCAGGGGCGGAGAAACATACACAGCCAAACAACTAAAAAAGCACACCATGACACACTCAAGAATCATAAAGTTTACTGTTTCTTTTCCATCATTTGGCACATATCCAAGGCACATTAGAAAATTAGAAATCATAAATTACTTTGTAGAAAAATAACCCCTCCTGTACATACACAAGTATTTCCAAGAACATGCACAAAACCGTTTCCCTATCACAAGGGCATTTGAAAATGGACTCAAGACAAACCCATATTTGTAGCTCTAGGCCAGTAACATAAAAAAATAACAGTGTAATCTATAGAAATTTATAAAAAGGAATAAATGGCAATAAATTCTAACCAAAAGTAACTTTGACCTGGTTTGTGCTCTAAGTTTTGAATCTGAATCAAAAGACTAAGAAAAGATGTGCCAAATCTACTCTCTAATCCAGTAACCATCTGACAGATGTGAGACATTCAAGGGAGGTTCTCAACAGAAAGGGATGTTTCTAGGAACACTGCTACAGATGCACGTGCAGAAACGGAATAGTTGTACTTATTCGTTAGAAGGAAAATGATAACCAACCTTTCCTATATGCATGATGTGGAACAGGTCTGATGCATCCTTTCACTAAAATGAACATCAAAATGGGATTGAGGCATCTTTTGGTTCAAGTGTTGCTTTGTAGAGAAACATTGTCCAGCTGTTTTCTTCCTTCAGATATGACATTTCAGCCTGGCCTCTCTAGTACCATGAAACCTAAATTGCTTCTCTCCGGCTTAATTCCAGATGGAGGAATTCTAGCTGTGGTTTGCAAATAACATATACAGGTCAGAGAGGTTTAGCACCTTTTGGGAGGAGGTGGTCAGAATCTGGTGGTGAAACCTCTCTCCCCGAGCCCAGCAAACCCTCGTACTTAAAAAGAAGCATGTAATTCTGGCTTAAGGATCTGGACGCTACTGGAATTTGTCCGTTTCAAGTGTATTCATTAGCTTTGAAGAGGAGAGGGATGGTGAATTTGTTGTTGCCTTCTTTTCTCAGCCACAGAAAAGCTTTCAGGAACTTGGCACTGAAAACTTCTCAGGCCAGTTTCATGGAAGTACATTTAGTCCTCAGATGTGTTCACTCAGCATCTTGTTGCTTCCTGGTAGGTTAATGACTCCTCATTCCTGTTAGGACTGGGAAGCACTAACCTCTTGGGGAGTGCAGGGGAGGCCAGCAGTCTCCGGGCCCTGCGACACGACCGCATCCTCCACTGTGTGTCTCCGCAGCATCTGCCTGTGTCCAGGGGTGGTCTGTGTCAGTCCAGGCCTCTCTGGCCAGTCGCTGTTGCCTTTCTCAGCAGCATGAGGTCCACTTCGAGTGGGCGGGTTATTCTGACTCAGTGTGACACTTTGCCTCCCTGGCTAAAGAAAAAGTACATTTGAAAAGTACACGTCCTCACTGTAGTGGAAGCTACCACCATGATAATGACAGCTGTCCCCTAGTGGTTAGTGTCACAAAATGTGCTCAGTACTTGACAGGCATAATTTTTTTTTTTTTTTTTGAGATGGAGTCTCGCTCTGTAGCCCAGGCTGGAGTGCAGTGGCACAATCTTGGCTCACTGCAACCTCCACTTCCTGGGTCCTGGTTCAAGCAATTTTCCTGCCTCAGCTTCCCAAGTAGCTGGGATTATAAGCATGTGCCACCATGCCCAGCTAATTTTTGTATTTTTAGTAGAGATGGGGTTTCACCATGTTGGCCAGGCTGGTCTTGAACTCCTGACCTCCTCGTGATTCACCCACCTCAGCCTCCCAAAGTGCTGGGATTACAGGCGTGAGCCACTGTGCCCAGCCCTTTTTTTTTGAGTCTCGCTTTGTCACTCAGACTGGAGTACAACAGCGCAATCTCAGCTCACTGCAACCTCTGCCTCCCGAGTTCAAGTGATTCTTTTGCCTCAACCTTCCAAGTAACTGGGACTACTGGCACAAGCCACCATAACTGATTTTTGTATTTTTGGTAGAGAAGGTTTTGCCATATTGGCCAGGCTAGTTTTGAACTGACCTTGTGATCTGCCTTCCTCAACCTCCCAAAGTGCTGGGACTGCATGCGTGAGCCACCTCGCCCGGCCGACAGGGATAATTTCAATTCTCACATCCCTGTGCGGTAACAAGGCATGTGTATACT